TCTTTATGCACCTTTGGTTTGGAGTGGGCATTTGAATATGTGAGTAATGAATTAATAAATGACCCTAGAGTTGTTTATTTAACACATACAGAAACTGAAAAGTGGGGTGCTGAAGTAAGTTTTTGGAGGTCACAAGGGCAGGACTAAACCCAAGGCCATATGCAGATCCCTTCCCCCTCCACCTTAGACTTACGACTTCTTCTAAAGTAAAAATGGCTGGCTTGTGTTTGCCAAATGAACAAATTATCCTATATAATAAAAACCTAATATGCTAAGTGTCCAACTGTTTGACTGTTTGACCATTCGCTATGATGTGCACTGACCACCAGGGGGCAGACACTCCAACTGATAGGTTAGCTTGCTGCAGGGGTCCGGCCAATCGGGACTGGGTGAGATGGGCCGGACACACCCTGAAGCCCTCCCGTTGTCCCTCCCCGGCCCTGTTCATGCACCCACGGAGTCCCTCAGCATGGCCTGTGCCCTCTCACAATCCAGGACCCCTCAGGGGATGTCAGAGAGCCAAAAGATCCACGCAGGCCAGGCCGAGGGACCCCACCGGTGCACAAATCTGTGCCCCGGGCCTCTAGTCCAATTTAAAAATGAGCAGAAGACCTGAACAGACACTTCTCCCAGGAAGACATACAAATGGCCAACAAATGTATGAAAAGATGCTCAACCTCACTAGCTATTAGGGAAATGCAAACCAAAACTGCAATGATACCACCTCACCTGTTAAATGGCTATTATCAACAAGACAAGTAATAACAAGTGTTGGAGAGGTTGTGAAGATAAATGAACCCTCATTTGCTGCTGGTGGGAATGTTAACTAGTACAGCCACTATGGAAAACAGTATGGAGGGTCTTCAAGAAATTAAGAATAGAATTACCATATGACCCAGCAACCCCTCTTCTAGGTATCTACTCAAAAATTTGAAAAGATTTATTCACAAAGATATATGCACCCCCTATGTTCTTTGAAGCATTATTCATGGTGGCCAAGACATGAAAACAAAGTGTCCTTCAATAGATGATTAGATAAAGATGTGCTACCTACATACAATAGAATACTACTCAGCCACAAGAAAAGATTAAATACTTCCACCTGACCTTGGAGATGAATGAAAGGCACAGCTTTAATGCAGATGTAAACTCTGATGTACATATGAAAAGGTTAAGCAAGAAAAGCAAGAGATAAGAGATAACAGTACATCCAATGTGCTCTCAACCATTTAGAGAAAAGCAAATCCATAAAAAGAAGACCAGAAGGAAAATTGCAAATGTTAACAGTCATTGTCTGTAAATAATGGTATTTTTTTCTGTTTCTGTATACTTTTTTTCTACTTTTCCAAATTGTCCTCAATGGACATGCTTTGTTCTTATAATCAGAATGATAAACAAAATCTAAATCACCAAACTAATTCTGAAGGCTAACCTGACCCTTCAAGTAATGATTTAGAAGAGAAGATGTGGATAAGTAATTGTATATGGGGATTCATTAAATACCCCAGTATTTAATGTGAAACTATGTTACTGTTACATATAATCCCATGAAAAGTACATCCACCCATCCACCAGATTCAGTATTTTATGTGAAACTATGTTACTGTTACATATAATCCGATGAAAAGTACATCCACCCATCCACCAGACTCAGTATTTTATGTGAAACTATGTTACTGTTACATATACACCCGTGAAAAGTACCTCTACCAGACTCAGAACACATGTAGCATACATGCAGACAAGCAAGAAAAATGCTTCCCGCCCCCCCCCCCTCAATTCAGTTCTTATTGAACAAATCACTGACATCAGGTCTGAGCGAAAACTCAGGACTCTAATGTTCCAGAAGATTACTATGAATTTCATTAATGATTTATTGCTGTCATTTTTTAATGCTACCACATCCTCCCATTTGTAAAAAGCCACATTCTCTTTGAAGCCTTCCTTCTTCCATGCTCTCATTTTACCACCTACTCTTGTTTGACTCATGAAGAAAAAGGAACACCCCCCCCCACACACACACACACACACACACAGCCCAGGTCAATATTGAGATAAATGAGATCTATTTTCTGAAGGCAATTTCTAAGGGATGACCAAAATGTGTCCTGAGCAAGGGTGGTGGGGTAGAGAATGGGTCATGTTCTTTATAACTCCAGGCTGAGCACAGGACACCCCCACCCAACCCACCTGCTTGTCAGTAAATATGAAGTGAATGAATGGAATGACTAGGTCTCACTCACTTGGGCCTGAAAGCTCTGGTTTTGTTTTTGATTTGTTTTTTACTAAGTTTTTTTTTTTTACCTTAGAGTCACACGCACTTCAGAGCTACCCAAAGCCCACTTAACAGTTTGGCAAACATTCATACCTCTTTGTGACTAGGTAGGATCTCCTTGAGCACCGGGCTTACCCTCCGGGGCTATTTTGCCTATCATTCTCTGCCACTTAAAAAGCTGGGGAGCACCCAAGCCTGCCAAGAGGTCTGAAGAGTCCTAAACATGAGTCCCATGACTTAATACTCCCAACAACCACAGGAGGTACATGCATGTTCTTTCCCTCACATTATACAATGTGGATGCAGCCTGATGGTTTTCAAGGCACTTGGGGGAGAAGGGATGACTCAAACCTGCTCCTCAGACTCTAAGGCCTGAGCATCTTCCACTTCACTGAACCTGGGCAGAAGGTACCCCCACTGCACAAAGAAGGAAAGTAGGGCCCAAGATGTTCAGTAGCACAGGGCTAAGTGGGGTCTCTCTCTTCTGAGTTTTTGCTGCCTTTTGGTTTATAATTATACTCAAAGCAGCTCCCTACTGGGAACAAGGAGTCTGTGGGAGCCCAGAGCAAGAGTAAAGTGAACCATTTAGTAAACACTAAAGAAAACTGATCCCCAATGATAACCTCACCAGATCTACCATTGGGATCTATGGCTTTGTTTAATAACCAAAGCCTATTCGAATCCTTAAGGAATTCATTATCTGACTTAAAGGTAGTTGTTATAACAACCATCATAACTTTGACTTTACTGTGCCATACCAACAAAAACTCCTTTGATGCAACAGTTTCCTTTACGCAAAGAGAGGCACTAGCCCAGGCCAGGTGGCTCAGTTGGTTGGCGCATCGTCCCATACACCAAAAACCTGCGGGTTCCATTCCCAGTCAGGGCACAACCTAGGTTGTGGGTTTGATCCCCCTTCTGGGGGGAGGTGGGGTGGGGAGGGTGTACAAACAATTGATGTTTCTCTCTTCTCTCTTCTCTCTCTCTATTCCCCTCTCTCTCTAAAATAGATAAGCACATCCTCAGGTAAGGATTTTAAAAAAGAGTCAGTAAAAGCAGACACCTTGCTGAGTGTCTTTAGGCAAGTGATTCCTCCTCTCTGGGCCTCAATTTTTCTATCTAAAAAATAAAAGGGTCTGATCAGATGATTCCTGAAATTCCTTATGTCCAGTGGAATCACCATAAAAATGAGACACACCCTGGAAACCCTAAGAAAATAAATAAATGTAGCCAGGCAATAACAGGGACAGGGCAAAACAGCATGTTAGCTTTAGGGAAACCCAGACTCCAAGTTTTTTGGGTTTTCCAACATCTTCTATGCCAAATACAAAAATAAGCAGCTACTTACATGGAACTCTCATAAAAATTTTAAATTAAATAAAATCAATGACAAAAATGTTTTGTTCTCCCACAAGTGGCTTAGGAGAAGCACGCTAAGAGATACTTTCTACCCGGCAGGGCTGGTGTCAACAGCCCATGCTTATGCCCAAACAAAGGCCTTCTGGCACAGGGATGAGAAGCAAAACATCTAAGTCTCCACAGTTGGCCCTATTCCAATTTGAAGGGAGGGGGCAGCCAGGAGAGAAAAATAACTAAGCTTATGAAAGGCCAGATGAAGAATAAGGAATTACTAAATCTATCCTTTTCTCCAATGAATAAAGAACTCTTGAAAGGGATAATGGAAGGGTGCACCTTTCAATCTGAATTGCTTTCTTTGTTTAACTCTGTTTTGCCTAAAGCCACTGCCTTTTAAGCCAACCACAGAATCCTGGTTTTGCCTTTAGTTGTCAGCCTCGCCGTGTGCAATGTGGGAGTTGGGAGACCCACACTCAAGTCCTGTCTCTGTCCTGATTTCGGTTTCATCTTGGACAAGTGGCTGAACTCAACAGGTCTCCACTTCCCACTTATAAAATAAGAGGGCTCACTGGATGCTCTCCAGACTCTCAGTGAAAGTGGTGTGGGGCTGAAGGATCCCCAGTTCTCCCCAGAGACAGGTCCATCTCCAGCGGCACTAGCCAAGGTGAAGCCACAACCCGATGTCTCAGCAAGCACACGGAAGCAGTGGTGCCTACATTCCCACTCCCACAATCTTCAGGGTTTACTCCTGCACCAACACCAACACCTAAAAGGCCAGTTCATCCTCCCAAACATCTTGCTGCTGCCTGAACAGGTCTGATTAACCAAAATCTGCAAAGCGGAGCTGAGCATATGTAAGCAAAACAAACCAGAGAGGCCTCTCTTCCAGGACCTCGGAATTTCTCTCAAACTCTAATCGAACTGAAAATAATAGCGCCCCCACCTCGTACAAGAGGCCTCGGCTGGCCTTGCTAATAAAAATGCATAACAAGTCAAAAGGGGCCAATGACACCCGGGCAGGCTAGACACATGGCCCTACAAAGCAAAGCGCAAATGAAACCACGTTGGGCGCTGTTTAAATTGGACCGTTCTTTCCGCAGGCTGCAGAGGTGCTCGCGCCCTCCCACCGGAGCGCAGGGACAAGGGTGTACCAGGCACGGTCTTTTTCGGGAGGGGACCCACAGACCCTTAATTCAACCCCATCCCTAAGAAACCTCCGTGAGGTGGAAATGAGGGGTTGTCCGGATCACATCAAGTAAAAACACCACCACCGGGGACAGACTCAGCCTGCAGTCATCTTTTCTTAGCTGCTTCTTGTTTCGTTTTTCCCTTTTAAGTCTGGCAGTTTGTACTGACGCCCAGGTGGTACCTTTTAAATGTCTTTGTCGACCTCCTCCAGCAAGTGGCGCCCCCAGAGCTGCTCTCTATCCTGGGGCTGAGACAACGGCCGGGTTCCGCGGGGCGGCTCCTAAGGGTTGGCAGCCCAGGGTTGGGCGCACGTGCGTTTGTTATGGTGCCCGTGTCCCCACCCCCGCCGGGAAGCTCAGTTTCCTGGTCTTTGAACAGACCAGGCGGGATCCGAAGGAACCCCGCCGCTGCAAGGCGTCCCACCCTTCCTGGCAGACAGTGCGGTGGAGAAAGCAGGGTTCCTGGTGGCCGAGCGCACGTGGGTTTGTTGTGGGTCCCCAGATCACGGAGCGGGGGAGAAACCAGGGCAGCCCCTCTCCCAGGACAAAAACACAGGCACCCCCGGCCCCAAGGTGGCCGGCCCGCAGCGAAGGGGACTGAGGCGGCGCTGGACACCGATTCCTTGCGCCCTGGGCGCGCTGGGCGGCCTCCG